TGAGCGTTGGCATGGATCTGTGGTTTTGCAAAGGCTCGAATAGTTTCAATTAATTATAAGCACCGGTTTCTCATTGAGATCCAGTGTTCACCACTGCGTCACCAGTAGCTTCTCTTTCCAAGCTGACCTCTCTACCCAGGGGCCTCTGAAAGCATCCCTGATCTCTGACAACAATCACGCAATGTCTCAGATTTATCTTCTGGTGTCCTGCATCCAAGAGGAAATCTTTTTTTAAAAGAGACCTGGTTTCATTTAGTGAAGAACAAGATTGAGAGACCTAAACCAGGCCACAGATTGGTACATCTGAACACTTAGGATAGAGCAACGGGACACTAGACAGGAGGTTAAATAAATCTTTCTTTCAAAAAAAAGGTACTCATGTGTAAGTATAGCACCCTTCAACAGAATCCTGTACAAATATTGGAAACAAGCAATAAAAGGAACAATTGAGGAAAATACAAGTTCTTGCATTTTAGCCTAACACTCTTCTTTAATCCTTATTTTCATGAGCACTAGTGTCATTTACCACGCAGTTTTGTTTTAAACTCCAATTTCTTTTTTTAAATTTTATAAAATTTATTGAAGTGGCATTAATAACATTAGATATTTCAAGTGTACAATTCTGTAATGCGTCATCTGTATATTGCATTATGTGTTCACCACCCACAGTCAAATCCTCTTCCATCACCATATATTTGACTCCCTTTACCCTCTTCTACACTCCACTATTCTCTTTCCCCCTGGTAACCACCATACTGTTGTCTGTGTCTATGAGATTTTTGTTTGTCTTGTTTTTTGTTCACGTTCAATTTCATATTCCACATATAAATGAAATCATATGGCTCTCATCTTTTTTCATCTGACTTATTTTGCTTAGCATGAAATTCTCAAGATCCATCCATATTGTCACAAATGGCAGTATTTCATCTTTTCTTATGGCTGAGTAGTATTCCACTATATATATGTACCACATCTTCTTTATTCAATCATCCATCGAAGGAAACTTAGGTTGTTTCCATGTCTTGGCCACCATGAATAATGCTGCAACAAACAAAAGGGTGTATATATCTTCAGGAATAAATATTTTCAAAATTTGGGGGTAGATATTCAGAAGAGGGATTGCTGTGACACATGGTAGCTCTATTCTTAATGTTTTGAAGGACCTCTATACTGTTTCCCATAGTGGCTATAGTAATTTACGTTCCCACCAGCAGTGTACGAGGGTTCGTTCCTTTTCTTCACAACCTATCCAACACTTGTTATGTCTTGCCTTATTGATAATAGCCATTCTAACAGATGTGAGGTGGTATCTCATTGTGGTTTTGATTTGCAGTTCCCTTATAGCTAGTGAATTTGAGACTCTTTTCATATATCTGTTGGCCATTTGTGTGTCTTCTTGGGAGAAGTGTCTGTTCAGGTCCTCTGCCCATTTTTTAATTGAGTTGATTTTTTGTTCTTTAGTTGTACAAGTTCTTTATATATTTGAACTCTAATTTCTTGAAGACCTTTGGATAATTACATAGTAACTACCACAATACAGCAGTCCAAATTTAAAAAGTCAATGAGATATGTAAGCAAATAGAACTGCATTAATATTAAGAATCATTAAAGATAGGGAGTTGTTTCACTGGATGGCACTTGTTTCAAAGGAGGCATTTATAAATGAGGATTGGAAATAATGATTTAGGAGCAGCAGCTGAAGCCAGAAGAATTCTGGCTTTCTGAAAGGGAGAGCTGCTGGGAAGGTAGGGGTTTAGGGAAATACCAGGCTTCCCCGGAGACAGGAAGTGAATTCTGCTAATAATCAAAGAGCTTGAAAAAGAAACTTGAACCTCCAATAAGTTTGTAACCCCAGCTAAAATCTTGATTTCAGCCTGTGAAACTGAGCAGAAACCCCAGTTGAGCCTTGCCTGGACTTCTGACCTACAGAAATGTGAGATAACAGATGGGTATTGTTTTAAGCCACTAGTTTGTGATAATTTGTTACACAGAGGATCCTCAATCTACTCTCTGTCCCGGAATACTAGAAGGAGTTGGATAAAAGAGTATCAGTGACTGTGAATCATCATAGAAGAGTTTTTTCCCTAAGGATGAGAAGGGATGTCTGAAGGGGCCATCAGTTGACTCCATTCACCTCTATTGTCAATCACAACTATAAATGATTTAGGATTTTCTTTCATTTTTGCAAAATATCAAAACATGAAATTAAGATACTTTTACCTTGGTGGCCCTCAGTTGATTTTTCTCTCCTATTACTCATTGGCTCTTTGATAATGAGATTTCCCTGCCCATCCTCTCTATTATCCACCCCAGATCCCCACTGAGTTGACTGGTTTTTGTCCCATTAAAGAATTACTTGATATGGCTGAACTCATCAATCCCATGCATCAGCCAAGTTAGCTTGCATCAGGATCATTTGGAAAAATGGAAGAGAGGCCATTTTAATATTGATTTTAAAACATAGCTATGAAGCTACATTTGCATCTGGAATAGAAGAAAAACTGATGGCCTTCTAAGCCAAGAATTATCATCTTCTAATGCCCTAGAGTATTTTCCACAAGATGTCAAATGTTTAAAGAAAACTTGGAAACGAATAACTTACCATTTTCAGAGTTGTAATTCCAACCTTCTGAAGCTCCTTCAGATGATGTACAGCAAATTTCACCCCCCAGTTTGGCATCTTGCAGTGAAGCCAGGCTGGGCTTGGGTCTTTGGACTTCCTTGGAGCTCAGGGGAAGGGGCAGTGGCTCAAAGCTGCCCTTTTTTGTGGCATCACCCTGCCTGTCCTTTTCACAGGTACTACATACTTATTAGGAAACCCACACCTGCCCTTCCTCCTGTGTCTTTATTGCAGGAAAAACCACCACCATCCACTCATGTGACTCAAGCTAGAAACCTAGCAGCCATCTTGGATCTTCCCCACCTCCATTCTATTCACCTTATTTGGTGACCAACTTCTTGAGTTTACTTTCAAGTTATATCTTACATCACACGAGGCAATACAGTGTAGTCCTTAAATGCAGAGATTCTGACATTCTAGACAGGCAATCCTAAACATTAAAATGAATTATTGTCTATAACATGATTCTACCTCTCTTGTTCTACAACAAGGAAGCATTTTCCATAGAAGCACCATTCTAAATGGTATTAGGTTACTAGGCTAATCTATTGAGGCCTGTTCAGACCACGATGTCCATGAATGCTGGTTGGAACTCCTTTTACTCTCTTGGGCTCTGATGAGCCCGTTCCTATCTCTGACCTGGGAGAGCCATCCACACCGTGAGACAAAGAGAGAACACCAAAGTAGCAGTGGATTCCAAAGTTCTGAATATTTTCCTTAAGCTTGGCACATGGAGGTCCTGCATATGGCAGCCTTGGACAGGTGTGTGTGTGTGTGTGTGTGTGTGTGTGTGTGTGTGTGTGTGTGTGTGTGTGTGTTGGGAAAAGGACAGTAGGAGATCTCACCTACCCTTGAGAGGGTAGTGTTGTGACCTTGGGTGTTCCTGAGCTGCCCATGCTAAGGCCCCATCATAGATGTTCCTTGTGGGCAGCAGCCCTGGCTGGAGTGGGGCCCACTTCATAAGGGTACCCTGTGCAGTTGTATATGGCCTGCATTTGGAAGGGCAGCATATTTGGTTTAATGTTCTGCTGTCACCATAATGAAATACATAATAATCTTGGGACAAGAAAGCCCACATTTTCATTTTGCACTAGGCCCCACATATTATGTAGCCAATCCTCGGCTAGAGGAAGGGGTAAGGAGTCAGGGGTCTGGAATTGCAAATTAATTATTAAGAACAGGTAGCCTGTCATTTCCATATGTCTTCCATTAGTTGCCAGCTCTTGTATGAGTTCAACTCATTCGTTCAATTATTTGGCAGATATTTGTTGGGTACTTCCTGTGTGCCAGGCACTGTTTTAGGTGCTGGGGATACCAAAGTAAACAAATAAAATCTCCCTTCATGGAGCTCATCTTCTACTGAGACTGATGGGGAAGAGGATATGAAATATGCGTGGCTGTTCAGATAGGATATATGTGTATCTATAGGAAGTATGGATATATATATATATGAAGGAGAGCTAAGATGGCCAGAAAATGCCTCATTGAAAAGGAAACTTTTGAGAAAGACCTGAAGAGAGACTCCAAAAATGGAGGGGTTGGGGTAGATGGGAGAATTCCAGGCAGAGAGAAGAGAAAGCAAAAGTTCTGAGGTAGGACCATGCCTGGCGAGTGTGGCTAGAGTGGAGAAAACAATATGGAGAGTAAAGTTGATGGGGAAGCAGATCTTATAGAGTCTGGTAGATTATAGTAAGGGCCTTAAATGTTTCTGTGACTAAGATAGGAAGCCACTCATTAAACATGACCTGACATATTTTACTAAGATCATCCTGGCTTCAGTGATGAAGATAGACTGGAGAAGGTCAGGGGCAGGAGAAAGGAGACCAGTTAATAGGCTATTGTAATAATGTAGGCAAAAGATGAGTGGCTTGGGCATTCAAGTGGGTGAGTTCTGGCTTTATTTTAAATGGAAAGCCAACAGATCAGATGTAGGGTGACCAAAGAAAGAGTAGAGTCAAGGGCGACACCAAGAGTTTTGACCTGAGCAAATAGAAGAAAAGAGAGATATTGATTCAGGGAGAATATCAGGGATTCCATTTGGATAAGTTAAGTATGAGATGTCCATCGGTCATTTAAGCAGATGTCCATCGGTCATTTAAGCAGTTAAGTTCAAGGAAATGTTGACTAAACATATAAATCTGAAGTCATCAGCATATAGATGATATATGAATGAACATAGATAGAAAGTAGTTTTTAAAAATTTCCAAACCTTTGACTTTTACTGACACTGGAGTTATTTCGAAATACTGGTTAGCGACATGGGTACACTCTAGGATGTGTGTAATACTCTTAGCTAAAGGTAAGACATGAACACATGAGATGACTGTATTTTCACTGTCTAATCTCCAAAAAAATGATAAGAGAAAAAAGTCTCATCAGTTTGGTTATTTATTTTAAATCCTTATTATGAGTTTATTTCATTCTATAACTAGTTCAAATTTTCCTATGATTAAGAATTTTTCATGGCTCTCAGAACAGGACATGGGGTGGAGAGTCCCTACAGACATCTCCCCTTCGACAGCCCCTCAAATCGTGGTTCAATTCACATAGTTATCGTCACTGTTAAGAGCTCTTTTAAATGGCCATTTTCTTAGCTTGCAGCTTTGAGAGAAGCATCATTAGAATCATTTATCCTCTGATAACCTAAAAAGAAGATTTGGAGCCAGGGTGCATTTCGGGAGCACTTTCATGCTGAAAAGCCTAATAATATATTTCTTGTGTAGTTGACATTCCAGTCAGTCTAGCCAGATGAGTCAAAAGAAGAAAACTGTTGAGGTATTTCTGAAAGCACATTAGAAGTACCTGGCAGGGATTCCTGCTTCAATGCCTCCTTTTCAAGGGGTTTTGTGTTCTCCTGCTTGAATATGGTCTTCTTTGTGGAACTAGCTACAGATATCAGTGGCTAAATAGAGAACAAAAGAAGCAAAAAAAAAAAAAAAGTCATTAGCAGAGACTAAAACACACTTGGTATGGCAAGAACATGATATTGCCATTTTCATGCCCAAGACTAAAAACAAAATGGAAACAGAACTGCTCTAGCAAAGCATAGAACAAAAACCTGAGAGAATCAAGATGATTCAGCAATAATGTAACTGCCCATCAGAACAAAACTCAATACCTTTTAAAGGAACACAAAATCTAGATACCTACAGAGTATCATATAAATGCTTAGCATAAAAATAATAATTGCTAGACATGTAAAGAAGCAGGAAAACATGAGCCATAATCTATAGAAAAAGTATTTAATAGAAAGAGACCTGAAAATGAATTAGCAGACAAGAACTTGAAATAGCTATTAGAAATATTTTCAAAATTTTAAAGGAGAAAAAAATGAATATAAAGAGTGAAAAAATAGGGTATATAAGTAGAGAAAATAGAAATTATAAAAAGGAACCATATAGAAATTCTGAAATTGAAAAGTACAAAATCTAAAATGAAAGAAAAAAAAAATCACTGAATCCCTAAATAGGTTATCAGACATTGCAGAAGAAAGGGTCAATAAACTTGAAGACAGATCAACAGAAATCATCTAAACTGAGGCACAGAGGAAAATAAGATTAAATTAATGAACATAGTCTCAGTGACCTATGAAATGATAACAAACAGTCTAATATCCATGTAATTTCAGTTTCTGGTTGAGGTTGGAATTCTTGTAACTTAAACTCTACTGGACACCTCTACCTCCATCTTTGCCCAGAAGTCTCAGAAGTCCATTCTGCAATGGACCCTGTGGGGCACTGCAGAGAGGTCTGTGAAGTACTTACCCATATGATCTCTAAGACCCTTCTAACTTCAATGTAGCATATATGTGTATTGAATCTATAAAAATGTATTTCTAAAACATTTTTATGGCTCATTATGCCTCTGCTTAATGTAGTAAAACCAATACAAAGGCAACTTTTGTCACTTTTCTTCTAGGTCGACCCAAATGCCACATCCTCTGTGATCGTCTTGATTGCTATAACTGCATATGATCTCTACCACACACAGTCCTCTGTTTCTACTCTTCTTTCGACATATCTACTGGACCAGTAGTATCCAATCTGGGATACTCAAAGACTTTCTAAACTATACGTAAGCAATGATGGCCTTAAGATATTAAATAAAATCTTGCAAAGCTTTGAGTATGTTCACATAGGCCCATCAGCTAAATCAGCAGGCCTGCTGAAATCTTATGCAATCCATCCTGGACCTGTTTAAGATCAGGTTTTATAGCACTAGTGACACAAATCCTGAAGGTGATCAATAGCAAGAAATAGTTCGCAATTCATCTTTAGCCACCAGGAAACCAGAACTTAGAATCTTGTCTTATTTGATGTACCGCCACCTCTTTGTCCTTTATCTAGCTCTTTCAATTTATACTAGCAGAGTAACTTGCACTTGAATGACATGACTCTCCCTGGCCAGGTAAGCAATAAATTCAGCTTTGTTTTAGATCAGCGGTCCCCAACCTTTTTGGCACCAGGGACAGGTGCTTCTATGAGAATCTAATGCCTGATGATCTGAAGTGGAGCTGAGATGGTAATGCTAGCGCTGGGGAAAGGCTGCAAATACAGATGACACGTCTCTCACTGGCCCGCCGGTCACCTCCTGCTGCGCAGCCCGGTTCCTAACAGGCCACGGACCAGTATCAGTCCGTGCCCGGGAGTTGAGAACCCCTGTTTCAGATCATTGTTGGACTGTTGGGTTCTCTTTGTTTCCTTCTAATAAAGATAATCAATTTTCATAACCACAACTTGCATATAAATCCTTTCCTAAAACTGAGAATTTGCACATAGTGCAGGCATCATTTTACACATCTAAATCTTGCTAAGGAATATTCTACAGGGCATAAAACCTCTTGAATGCAACACAAAGAAACAATTCAAAATATTGAGGTGAGCAAAGTTTTCTTTAAATAAAGGAACCACAAAACCCGGGTAGGGTTTGGGGGGTTCTTTCCCTGCCTTACATATTTATATTTCTATTAACAGTGAGATATCGTTAGAAAAAGATTTGAGTGGGCAGCAAGGTGGTGCCAACTTTTGCCTAATGATCTCACCTCTACCATCTCCCAACAACTGTTATAAAAATATTTCAGAGGGAGGGCTCACTTAGACTACTGTCTTACAATAATATGAAACCATTTTTGTTTTGACTTATTTATAAAACGTCCAGGCTTTTAAAAAATCTGTTAATTGTTTATGAGGAAAGCTGAGCACATTTGTATAAATATAAATAAGCTTAATTGTTTCATGTCTTCATCAAAGTGGGCTTTGGAAACTAGCAAAAGCTAACTAATTGTATAAGACTGCATTAAAGATTTTAATGCACGGAATATAGTGATAGTTATACAGATGTCAGATATCAAGCCCAATAAGTAAATTCCTATCTGGGTATTATGTCCTTTATAGAAAACACATTTTTTTTTTCAGAAGAATGTGACAAAAATTATGAGAGGTAAAAGATATGCTTGTCAGATTAATGAATACTCAGTTATTTCTAACTATTCCAAGTTCGTAATTTATGACTGCTACACAGCATCACATCTTATTCTGTGCTAAAACTTAAGTAAATACTATGTAAATAAAATAATATACTTGAAGTATATACTGATAACTATATTTGGCTTCTGAAAAATATTGAATAATTTTTGAAAAGTGCTCAAAGGATTTTGTATAAAAACATATTTGTTCCAAATGACATATTAGGTTTTCTTTAATCTGATTTTTTAATCCAGTAACATCTAAGGTAGTTCCTGAAATCTAAAATGAAATTGCCTTCAAACATTTTTTTTCATTGACAAGGATCCTATTGAAAGGATCGTCAATAAGATTGGTTTACATATAAACATATGAACATGGAGGACAAAGTAGGCTACTGAGAGCGTCAATGTGCTTTGTACTGTGGCCAGGCTGACTGTGGATTTCCCGGTATCCATCACTGGGATCTGTGCCCAAAGCTCAGTTCCTCCTACCTACCTTGTGACACTTCTCATACTTCTGCTGAATCTCATACTCTTCTTGCTTCAGTATTTCTGTCATTTTGGTTTCCTCGAGGTTATCATCATATTCTTCCTTCAGCTGGGTCTTCTCTTGTGTATGCTGGGGAGATGTGACAGAGTTGAATCAGATCAACCTCTGGGAAGCATGTTTAAAGGGCCCTCTTTCACTGAGATTGGCCTCAGGCCCTTCAGGCCTCCTGAGTCTGCTCCTGTAACTAGCTTTAGCCTGCTAGGAGCTCTAAACCCACCAACTCTATTACTCCTGTGAGTTGGATTCCTTCTTCAGCCCCCCAGACTTCCTGCACTGATAGGATATCTAAGACTAAGCCACCCTCACAAACTGAATAAACCAAGGAGAAACCCCAGACCAGCTCCAGAATCCTGCCTTGGATTTCAAATTACTCTGGAAAAGCCCTCCCCAAGGTGACACAAAGCACATACACACCTTCTCTTTTGCTTTAGTAATTTTCCTGTAATGATAAAGCCAGTGAGCCAAGTACTCTATAGGGTCACTGGGCCGAACCTTCCCCACCTCTGCCAGAGCCTGGGCAAGGCAATTTCCAAAGCATCTCTTCAGGTAGTCAGTTTCCATTCTGTGGTTTTGGGACAAATCAAAACAGAGTCACATTACTTTATAAGTCTAATTTGATTTTTTAAAAAAACACATTCTAACCAATATGGATTCATTTCAGGATAAACATGAGATGGTTCTGGATCCCAAAAGAATCAACAAATACATACATGCCAATAGCTCTTACATTCAAATGGACTTTTTTCTAAAGCTCTTCACTGTCCTAGGTTCACACAATAGGTCCTGGGGGTCATCAGGCCTGACAGGAGCTTGATAGATTGATGGTTAAAGGTAGCTAAGGCCTCCACTTACCCACACATTTCTACCCTTGAGTGGAGAGGAAATAACTGAGCAGGTGGGTCCCAAGAGGGGCTCTAAACACCCAGCAAGCTATGTTATTGTGAGGTTGGAAGCCATAGTCATCTATGACATAGATAAGACAGGATTATTCATTTCACAAGGGACCACTGAGAAGCCCTGGGGAGAAGAAGGAGGGAAAATGCCAGGCATTGTAGCTACTGCTAGTCAGGGGGTCTGCCAGCACTTAACAAACATGATATTCCACTCTCTATTGCTTAAGCAAGAAACTACTTAAGGTTGAGTTGATGTCCCTGGATTCACTATTAATCAGATTTCAAGAGCTAAAGGCAGTGTAGCCTGAGTTAAACGACAGTTAGGAGTTGGCAGTGTAGTGCAGCACTATGAAGACAGACTCTGGGATCAGACAGACTAAGTTCGAGTCTTCTGCCGTTTATTAGCTGTGTGATCTTCGGCAAGTCACCAGTCTCTGTGAACCTTGGTTTTCTCATCTGTAGAAAAGAAAAGCAAAAGTATGTGCCTCATAATAGTGAGGATTAATGGAAATAATAAATACATGTAAAGCACTTAGCCTGGCACATAGTGAGTGCTTAATAAATATTAGCTATTACAGTGGAAGGTTGTGGTATGAAACGGCCTAGCATCTGGCCTATTCCTCAGCAACTCCATATTTCTGAAATTTATATATTTTAACTCCAAAAGAGCTAATAATAAAGTAACTAATAAAGGCTCAGCTCCAGTCTTAACATTTTCTGGAGGCATTTTCCAGTTTAAGGTAGGAACGATAGATAGATACATATGAATACAGAAAAAATATATATTTCCTAGCTCTTCCCACTGCAAAGGCCTAGAAACAAACAAACGAAAACTTCAGTAGCAATGAGCACACTAAGCACTCAGAATTCGTCTTTAAATAGCTGACACCACTTAAAAGGAATCAGGGTTCCTTAGAGAAATGGTTAATTCCAACGTTAGGGCAGGAAAAGTCCAATAAGCCTGGAACATTTTATTGTCCCAGACAGAGAATGTTAAAAAATAAAAGGCCTAGAGACACAGGAACCATCTCGAAGGTGCTGCTGCAGGCCAGATCTGGGGTAATTTGATCATCAAAATGCATAATGACTTAAATGGATTATAACTAATTGAGTAAAATATGCATCCACGAGTCTACATAAGAATAAATAAGTAGGTAAATGAGTGGGAGAGATGGCAAGTTCTTAAAGTAGAAGGCCAACTAATAAATATGGAAAGAATAATGTAGTTTAAAAAAAATCACCATTTTGTGACCATCATAGTATAACTGAATCAAGCCAGAATCATCAATGAATGCTAAAACTTGGTGAATATTTGACAAGAAATAGGATATCTCAAAGTTTCTCCCACAAATTATGTGTTAATTCCAAAGAGAAATATAGAAACTTTACAGTGATAAAACCTGGCTGACACAACCTTAACCAAATGACGAAAGTAAACATCACCAATTAGGGACAAAGTGACATTGTGCATCTCCTGATATGATAGACTTCTTAGTGGGACATAATACAATTTTGTGGATTTCTGCCCAAATGCCTACTTGATCTGATTGAGGAAACATCAAATAAAGTCAAATCGACAACACACAAATGACCTGTACTCTTAAAAATGCCGAGGTCATGAGAGACCAAAAAGAAGAGAACCATTCCAGATCAAAGGAGCCTAAGCAGGCATAACAGCTACATGCAATACATGATCCCAGACGGATCTGGACCAGAAAAAAGAGTTCTATATAGGACATTGTTAGGAAAATTGGATAAACTGAATGTGAATTGTAGATTAATTACATAATGGAATTGCATCAAGGTTTAAATTTCCTGGTTTGGGTAATTGAAATATGAGTAAGAAATTTCTTAGGAAATAGACACGGTGTGGTAGAGCTGAATAACAGCTCCCAAAGATGTCCAAGTCCTAATATCTAGAACCTATAAAATATGTTACCTTATACGGCAAGAATTTGGGAATGTGTTTAAATTAAGGGTTTTGATTTGGAGAGATTATCTAGATTACCCAGGTAGGCACAATGTAATCACAACTTGTCAGAGGGACACAGTAAGATCACACAGAGAAGGTGCTGTGATGACAGGAGAAGGAGAAAAGGTGATGTGATTCAAGATCATAAGCCGAGGATTATACGTAGCCTCCCGAAACTGGAAAATGCAAGAAAATGGATTCTCCTCTAGAGCGTCTAGAAACCAGCTCTGCCAACACTTTGTTTTAGCCCTGTAAGACTCATTTTGAATTTCTAACTTTAAAAACCATAAAAGAATATATATGTTTCAAGCCACTAAGTTTGGGGTACAGGAGTTCAGAATGAATCACCCCAAAACGTGCCTCTGTGGTATGCAGATTGTTTTGAGCTAAAGGAAACCAAGACCCTGCAGGCTAAAGAGAAACTTTCGCCCCCCACCCCAGCTACCTAGAAGAATCTGAATTAAGAGCTTTGCCCATAATAAGAGATTATCAGAAGTAATATTTTTTGACCTATCTATAGGGCAGGAAAAACCTAATTACTGAACATCTGCTCTTCTTAGTGTCCTGCAATGACCTACCTCCCCTCTGAAGCCCCAAAGTAATCCTTAACTCATAATGTCATATATGCTTCATTTTCCTTTTCTGTCTTTGAATCTCTCATGTATGTAGGGTCTCTGACATACATGGATGTGGAGTTCCCATATGTATGTAATTAAATTCAGTCATTTTCTCTTGTTAATTTGTCTCATGTCTAATTGATTATTAGATCAGTCAAAAGAGCCTTGAGAGTAAAGTTTCTTCCTCTCCTACAGGGGTGGTGGTGGAGGGTGGAGATGGGGTTGGTGGGGGTTGTCTCTTTCTGCCAATCTGTGGCCCACCTGAACCAATACACTTGGATAAACTTTCTTCTATACCCCTTTTACTCAAGAGTTGTCCAAGATCAGCAGCATGGCATCTCCTGGGGGCTTGTTGAAATGCAGATTTTCAGGTCTCACCCCAAGCCTACAGATTCGGTCTACATTTAAGCAAAATCCCTAGGTGATTTGAAGTCACAGATCTACTTTGCCTTTATCACTATAGAACTGTGCTTCCCAGAGAATGGAATTATCAATTTTGCATTCCCAGGAAGCCTCTCCACTTCCAGTCCTTGGGCAGGTGTGGCAAACCCTTTTTGGAGAAAGCATTCACTCCAAATTGCACATTTTCAACAATGGTCCCAATGAAATATGTTGATCTGACAGTTACTAAGACCTGATGCAAAGACAGGAGAGCCATAGTAACAGAGCCACCCATGTGAGGCCTGGAGAGGGAGGGGGCAAAGGGATGCCTTTTACAGTCCACTTCCCATCAATTCGGGCACACTCACCAAGGGGGAGGAGACTATTGTTCAGAGCTTCCCAGAGCTCCTCCTAGGGTCTGCTTACACTGGTCTTCCTTGTTCATGGCCTTGCATTCAGCAGGCAGAGCAATAAGCATGGAGATCGCCTGTGTTCAAACTCTAATCCCAATGGCAGGCACACAGTAAATGTTTCTTGACAATCAGCCAGGGCTCAGATGCTTGTGAGCCCAGGTAAACGCTCATGCTCCCTTCAGTCACTGCCCACTCTGGCACTTATTACCTTAGCCAACGTTTAGTAAAGCTTCTCCTGTCTAGCACTTCCCTGCACGTGAATTAAAACAGAACACTCCCGGGAAATGCCAGCAGAGTACTGTGCAGAAGACTAGGCCAGAAAAGACTGCAATGGCTCTGGCCTGGCAGAGGTCGGTTGGCTTTCGGGAGGTGAGGGCACCTGAGCTGGTTCTAGAAGGAATCAAGCAGAGGTCATCAGCAAGTGCAAAGGAGTGAAGTGATGAAAATACGTGCCGTTGAGCTTGCAGCAACTGCCTACTCTAGCCCGGGGATCGTGGGGAGTCTCCCGCCCTTCACAGACAAGTAGCCCTTTGCGGCTCCTCTCTGCAAGCCTGCGGACCCTTTCCCTCTCCAAGTGCGCGCCCCGCTAGATTCCTCTTCTAGGCGCCCTTCAAGTGGCAAGTCTCTGCTCACCTATCGTCGCGCCCCCTCCCCTCGGCCACGGTTCCCTCCCTCCCTCCTTCACGCGCACTCTCAGCGCACTAACCCTCGAGCCCCTTCCTCTCTGCTGCGCATTCTCCAGCCCCAGCACCCTCTCCGGCACCCTCCACTCACCCGCCGGCGCGGCTCACCTTCTTCGCTCTCAAGGCACGCGCGCTCGTTGCCTAGCGACGGGACGCTACTCGCGGGCTGGGGGTAGGCGGGTGTGCCGGGCGTGCGCAGGCGCCTTCTGGGAAACCGGTTATCAGGACTTAGCTGAGGTCCCGCGGCCGAGGCCGTTTGGGCCGTTAGATCTTGAAGGGGTGTAGGGCTCAGGCGACGCCCAGGTTCCCCCAGCACAGCGAGACGAGAGTTCAGCGCCGGGGGCTGGGTAGGCTCATCTGGGGTGGGCTCTCTTTTCCTCAGCGGTGAGTGGAGCCGCGCAGTGTGGGGTGCCTGGGAGGCGAGGACCCTTCAGCTGACCCGGGATAGGGAAGCGAACCCACGCTCCCTGAATCGAGGTTGCCAGATAAAATATGAGATGCCCAGTTAAATTTGCATCTCAAAGGAATAAAGCATAACTTTTTAGTACAAGTATAGTTTAATCTGAACCTTTCGTTGGTTATCTGAAATTCAAATTAAGATTCAAATTCAAACGGGCATCCTGTATTTTTATTTGCTAAATTTGGCAGCCCTACCCGGATCCCCACCTTTCCCTAGGCTGGCGGGCTTTCTCCCAGGCATGGGCGAGGGACCTCTTTTTATTTCTTGTAACAACATTTCCAGGCTTGAGGAAGTTGTTTCTGTGGGAAGGGGCTTTCTTATATGAAAAATAACATTCCTTACAACAGCCTCCATCGGATGGGTATTATTACCATTTCCTGGACAGGAAACAGGCTGAGCGAGGTAACAAGCCTTGCCTGGGTCCCGCTGATAATGCGATGCAAGGCCCATGGATCTGAGACCAACCCTCCACAGGGCCATACCCTTAGGCCAGAGGTTTCTCTCTTAGGGATCACGGTCCCCTTTCCATGTATTGTCTTTCTGGAGTAGCAGCAAGGATCTGTAACCTCCCCCCTTTTTTAATCTTAACTCGAATGACATTGAAATGACAATGTAGTTATTTTTGTCTTTAGAATATATCCCATTGAAGAAATGCAGTGAAGCTATTGTGTTCCGAATTTAGTTGTAATAATTCTTTTCTCTGTGTGATTAAGACAATGCTAGCTTGATAGGGAACCAGGTTCATCTGTGCTAGTTTTTAGAATTTTAGTTTTTATGACTCCATTTAGCTACACATACATACACATTCTTTTACCCACTGTTGTTGCTAATACAAAAGATGGCATACTATATACAATTTCTGCACCTTGCTTTTTTTTTTAACTTCCTACTGCGTGCTAGAGATCACTCCCTAATTTAGAAATCTTCATTCTCTTTTATATCTGCACATACATCCATTGTGTTGCTGTATCTCATCAATTCCTTAATAATCAACATGTGGATGGGGTTCCAGTTTGGCTACTCTAAGTAATGGTTCACTATAACAATGTGCATATTTCACTTCATATTTTTGCAAGATAGGATCCTAGAAGTCAGATCGTTGGGTCAAAGGGTAAATACATATGTAATCTAGATATTGCCAAACATCTTTCCACAGGGGTTATACCATTTTGTCTCTCACCATCATGTTATGAGAAAGAGCAGTATTGAGGTCTATGGATGAATCTTGGGAGGTCATTTTTTTTTTTTACTTTAAGTATAGTCGAAATACAATATTAAGTTCAGATGTACAATATAATGACTCAACATTTATATACCTTACAATGTGATCACCACACTAAGTCTAGTAATCATCTGTTACTATGCAAAGTTATCACAATATTATTGACTATGTTCCTCTTCACCTTTTTCACCCATCTCCCCAGCCCCTCCCTTCTGGCAATGATCAGTTTGATCTCTGTTTCTATGAATCTGTTTTTGTTTTGTTTTTAGATTCCACATATAAGTGAAACCATATGGTATTTGTCTTTCCATGTCTTATTTCACTTATTATAATACTCTTTAGTCATTATTTTTAAAATTTTCTGCAGAAAGTTATGTGCATTTGTCCAGGGACAGGTCTAGACTCACTGGCATTCTACTTCCTATAATTGCTCATGCCTGATATATAATAAGTACTAAATACATGTATCCATAAGAGTCTGGATTCCATAAAGTTGATTTGAGGATGATCAGTTTTTTTCAAAGCACTGAGATACAGTGGTTGCTTCATTTCTTTTCTTTCTTCAAAAAAAAAAGAAAATCTGGTCTAAAGTTATTCTTGTTCTTCTTCATAACTAATAGACTGGCACATTACTGGGAGGGAGAGTGGAGAAACTCATTCACTTGCCACAATGGAGAGCCAGCTGTGACAGCCCTGTGACTAAAACACTCCTTGAGGAGCTAGAGGAGCTTGTCTTCTAGTGGGAGGACAGGCATGTGCATACACAGATAATTCTCAGGTAGTGTGACAAGTGCTGTGTGAGCTGCTTGGGGAAGAAGGAACTTCTTTGCATTGCCTGGGAAAGCTCAGGAAATGAGAGATGATCTACATCTTGCAGGTGAGGAGATACTTTACTTTCCAAGCTGTGAGATGGCAAGGCATCATCATGGACAAAAGTCATGGAGATGGAAACATGCAATGTATGATCAGCAGAATAGCAGGATGTTCAGTGTAGTTAGAGCCCAGGATATGCTGAAGGCAGAGGAGATGTCTGGAGGTGAGCCTGAAAAGAAAATTTGGGTCAGAGTGTCAGGAATCTAATATGCTATTCTTTGATGGTTGAGGTTTTAAAATTCTTTGGCCTTGGAGATTCATGGACTCGTTTTTTTTAGGTAGACTATTGTGATGTTTTCTAGAAATGACTCCCATTGCTTGGGAGGAGCATCTTAGTACAGACATTAGAATAATGACTCTGGAATCAGGAGTTGGGTATGAATCCCACCTCCACCATGTGCCTCCTGTGTGATCCTGAACTGTTCAGTTATGCTCTTTGTGTCTGGACTTCTTCATTTGCACTATGGAGATAATGACATCCATTTGTCAGGTATGTTGTGAGGATTAAGTGAGACATGCATTGCTTGGCACATATAGTCCTCTCACAATCAATAATGACCATATCCCTTTTCTGACTCCTGGATTTGAGGGCCCTTCAGGACTTCGAAACTATATTAGTTGTAGTGACTTCTACAGAGCCTTTTTGGAAACCATTAAAAATTTTCCAGGGCCAGCTTGCTTGTGCCATCCTTGATGGGAGGTGCCCATCACTAGTGACACAATATAATGCTTTGTTGACCTCACTGGACTCTACTTGTATTGTACTCTAATTGAAAATTTCCTGCATTAATCTTTTAGAAGCTAGGAGTTAGAAATGGAGTCAACATATCTTCAAAAGCACCTTGGGACATGTCTAACTCAAGGTCTTGCAGAAGTGGCAAGAATTCGCCCAGTGGATCCAATAGAATATTTAGCATTGTGGATTTACAAGTATAGGGAAAATATGATCATGGAGAAACTGGTAAGTATGAATCTTCTTTTAGAAAATTAGAAGAGTAAAATAATTCATCCAGTTTGTTTGCTTTTCTAAAAAGTTCAATATTATTCTATTATAAAAATAGTATGTTTATTATACAAAAACTTGGACAACAGGAAAAAGTAGAAGAAAATTCCTGAAGAGAACATTATTTAGATTTTTAGATATTTCTTCTAGTCTTTTTTCTACACATTTCTCTGTAGATTTTTAAACATAATTGTGATCATACTCAATGTATAATTTTAATTCTGTGCTCTTTATTCAAATAAAAGACATTTTTCTTCAAATTATTATACAGTTTTCAAATGGATAGACTATAATTTGTTTAACCCTTCCCCCATTGTTGGTGATTACAATGCTTTCAAGATTGCTTTTACAAATTGTTTTATCTCTAATTAGTCATGTGATACTATTTTTTTTTTGTTGTTATTTGTTTGTTTGTTTGTTTTAAACAATGCTAGAGACAAAAGGAAATGGCTGACTTGGAACATGAAAGAGAACTAGCTCTGATGGAGCAGGAAATGAATGAGAGGCTTAAAGCAGAGGAGCTCATGTTTCAGCAGGTGAGATGAGAGAGTTCAGAGGTGACTGGAATTAGCAATGTCAATCTCTGCATGGTGCAACCCAATTGTTGAAAAGCTCCTCATCTCTGGTTACTTAGGTATGGTTTTCTTATATCTTAATCTTTATGTATGTATCTTCTTTGCTGGAGAAGCTGCAGCAGCAAGGTAGGAGGAAAACCCAGAGAGTGTGCTCTCAAGGAAGCCAAGGGGAGAATGTCTTGGTGAGACTTCAGTGGTCAACCATGTGTTCTACTGGTTGAGTGAGAGCAGGACTGCAAAGTGCTCATTCAAGTTCACTGGTGACTTTGATGGGAGCAGTGTGGGTGGAGAGAGGTATAGCAGGGAAGAAGGTGAGTTTCGGTAATGCTTTCAAGATTTTCAAGGAAGGAATTTTTTGTTTTGTCTTGTTTTTTTTGTTGTTGTTTTGTTTTGTTTTGTTTTGTTTTTTAGGAAGACTGGAGAGAGAGCGGTTGATGTTAAGAAATAGACGGAATGATTTATAGAATCTGCTTTCCATGGAAACAAAAGGAAATAGAGTCTGGAACATAGGTTAATCAGGTAGAAAGGCACTTTTTTGATTCTTTGATTCAAAGAAAGTAGAAAGACTAGCATGGGTACATGTGGGTATATAGGTTTTGTGGCACAAAGTTGAAAGCAGTTCTTGTGTGACCGTTTCTTCTTTATGAAGTAGAGACCATGATCATTTTCCAAGAATGATGTGGTAAGGTAGGAGGTGTGTCAAGAGTGGTGAAGGTTTGAAATGGTGGCTTTGGAGAATGACAGAGAGTGAATGCCAAGTCAAACTTAGCATTACTTGGTAGCATTGAGTATCCTAATACAGTCGGAGACCAAGCATTTTTAATGTTGCCATCTGATTTGGTTTTGTGATTATGGGATTTTTCTCCACTTAGACATAGATATCTGAGCGAAGATGTGGCAGAGGCAGACGCTTTGAAATAGGTTTGGGGTAGCAGGATTGGGGAGCTGAAGATATTCGTAAGAGAATGTTTAGAGTGATGGATCATGGAATACAAGCTTGATAGGGAAAAGTTCCAAAGTGGCTTCTGGACTAATTATTCATGGAGAGCTTTGGAACTAAATTTAAGTCACCCCTATCATTCTACCATATAGTGCTTAATTATAGAGTCTTGACTTGAGTCTACACATTTAAAAAAGGGAAAGAAACCAACTATTTGGGTGTGTGGATAAAAAGTTAAATATAGATGTGGCAAATAGCTTCTCTGTCTAATCTCCCATCCTTGATACTGGGATCAAATATTTTAGGCACCTTAGATGGATATGGCTGTTAAAAACTTTACTGTGGCACTCCAAAACTGTTGAGTTGTAATGGTATAACTGTGATTGGTCGTGTGCTGAGCAGTGGTGCAAATTGATGAGAGTACCACCTATGGTTTCTGTTACAATTACTCAACTGTGTTGTTGTAGTGTAAAAGCAGTCAGGCAATGACCGTGGAAGTGTTTCAATAAAACTTTATTTATAGACATTGAAATTTGAATTTTACATAATTTTCATTATTATTATTCTTTGATGTTTTTCAACCATTTAAAAATGTAGAAACTGTTCTTAGCTGGGAGGCTGTACAAAAACAGGAGTTGAGTCAGATTTGGCCCACGGAATTTAGTTTGCTAACCTCTATGCTAGTGTGGCATATATGTTGAGTTGGTACCAAATATGTTGTTGATTATTTATGGTTTCAGATAATATACTTAGGATTTTCTCATCTACTCTCTGTAACCAAAGTTTGGCTATTGAAGACCCATCGATGCTTAAAGAGATTTTATCTGAAAAAATTACTTCAATCTCATTTGTTGCTTCAAGAAGAATAGAGAAAATGGCTTGACTTTGTGTAAATTGTGCTTTTCTACAATTAGCAATTAAGGAAGTTTCCTTCTTTTGTACTTCAGGAAATATCTGTAAAAGCTAAAATATTAGGTGGCTGCGATCATTTATATTTGTAAGTTTCTGAAATTTAGGTAGGTGTGAACTTAATTATCCTGGTATATTTCAGAGTGATAGAATTAATTCCTTGCAATTGGTATGACTCTAACATGATTTATTTATTTCTGAATATTCAGCAACAGCTGGCCTTCCAGCTGGAGTTGGAAATGCAAGAAAAAGAGAGACAGAAAATAGAAGAACTACAGAGAGCTCAAGAACTTTTGGAGTCGGTAATTTGAAGTTTTGTAAATGTCTGTTTTATTTTAAACCTCTTAGAATCCTCAAGCCGCTTTTTCTAACTGTTATATCATGGGATTTATAGTCTGAAGACTTGCCATACATTAGCTGTGTGACTTAAACAAGTCTTAGAACTTTTTTAGTCTTAGTTTACCTTTTTGAAAAATAGGGATAACAGTATAATATAATTAGCAATATCTCACTGGGTTGTTATAAGGATCAAATAAGATCATGTATGCAAAACTGCTTTGTGAGCAGTAGAGTTCTCTAATAGTGATGTTATCAACATTTTAGTTAAGAGATAATTGTTCCTAATTATGGTGGTTGATGTTGAAGGTTAAATTCTTTGTAATATTGGGAATATTTTGATCTCTACGGCAGTAGTGCATCTCTTTTCTTCATGTTAGATGTATTGTCAATAATAATTTACACTAAAATATGTTATTAATATGAATTTTTCATGTCTTTCATTAAATAAACTATGCAGTAACTCAAATCAAAAAGTCCATCTCTGGTGACTGTGTCTGTATGTCAAGCCTCAGTTTGGCCAATGTTTCTTGATACCCAAAAAGTGTGTATCATATGGATCAAATTTCTGAATGACTGAGTTGTACTTTTTAACTGGGTATTTAATATTATATGCTTATAGCCAGTATCTGTTAAGTAGCTGTTACTCCTCTGTTTATCCCATAATTAAAAATAAAAACAGAAGCAGGTTTTATAGAACATATTTATTAATGGCTTAAATGAGATCATCATTATTCAAAGCAATTTTTAAAAAGTTGGCAGGGCAAATTGAATAAAAATGAGATTTTTTTTAAAGGAGTAAATTTAAAAGCTCTATACATAGTTTTATGAAATACAGATGCTACTGCTCTCTTAGTCTGAGTGTAGTAGGGCACATGGATATACATGCATGCACACACACATATAAATACATATAGATACATAGCCCCCTTCTTCAGTTAAGGTTCAGTGATCTACAATGAAAGAAGAAAAACTAGAATACATCAAGAAGACAGTGATCAAAATGAAAGAATTGAAAGTAATTTTTATCGAGATGCCCTGATAGCTAATTTGAATGTTTGAAAGCCTATGATTTATATGAGGGATTGGACTCTGTTTTGTGGCTCCATGAGGGTTACACTCATGTTACTGTGTGTAGGCATCATCAGACTGTGTGACTAGAGCCATAGTAACTTCTATAATCCATATTCCTACTGTCTGTCACCCGCCACCTCTCTCCTGCAAAGTACCCCTGCCTTTCCCAGTGCTCAGAGAAGAGTCTATTTATGTTCTTTTGCCCTAGCTTTCTTGTGGCTGCAGAGACACAACTTAAACTATCATTTTCAAAAGGAAATTCATTGGAAGGATCCTGAGTTGAAGATAGCATATTACAACTAAACATAAAGAGCTCTGGTACAACTGGGCCTTCCAGACCATCGGGAGCAAGAGAATCAAATGCTACCAGGACTCTCACCTTTGCTGTTCTCTGGCTCTTAGTTTTAGTCTCTCTCACTCTCACGATGGCCTGGTTTGCTGCACATGGGTGTGGGGCGTGGTCCTTAATGGCTCCTGGGTCTCATATTGTTGTGGCTCCTGCCATCTCAGTGGATTCTTTTTTCTGGTTTCAGCCAAAAAGCATCTTGAGGAAGGATTTTGACCAGGTTAATTTGTGTCAAGTATCTATCAGTTAGCTGAGGGGCAGGGTCCTATGAGAACATGGACTTCCCCACTACAACCATGTGGTGGTGGGCTAAGATATTACAGGAGAATGGAATGGTCTTGAGAAAACAGTACCATGTATGTCCCCTATAATTAGGGTGACTGTACATATGGTCACGAGATCACTAATCTTCGAACAGCCAGAATGAATCAGCTGTGGATCAGTGAAGTCATCACACTGCCTTAGAATGAAAAGGTAGAGGCCAATAGCAAGGTATGGTTGGTTAGAAGGTTTTCATGTTCAGAACAAGGCTTCCCATGTGTTCAGAGTACTATAAAGAGCATTGCTTGGGTATTATGATAGGATTTGTGCATTGGATAGTAACTTGGTCCAGATTAATTTCTTCAGAAATATTTACCACTTGCTCACTCTGTGTACAATTCTACTTAACTGCAAGTTCTCTCTAAAATCTCTCATTCTAAGAGTTTATTAAAATTTTTGTTCTGTTCCTTTATACATTTGCTAATAATTTGGCTTCAGGTTTGATGTTTAAGGACATTTTATTTTTTAAAAAGTTATATTTAATTGTATAACTTGGTTATCTTCTGTTCATATAAAGTATTAGAGTATTATTTGTATTCAGATCACTAAGAGTGATAAGATTTTCACTATTAAATTGATCATAGCATTATGTAAAAATAAAAATGTTTGAGAATTAAATATGTGATCAAAATGCAAAGTATATTCAGAGTATTTTTCTTTATTTCTGTATATTATAGGAAATGGGAATGGATATGGAAAACATAGCTAAGGATGAAGATACTTCATCTGTAGAGGTAAGAAGAAAAAGTCATTCTATATTACATGAAATAAATGAATATCCTGGAATGTAAAGCTTAATTTTGATGCATTAATAGCTAAATTTTTAATAAGGAGATTAGCAAAACTGAAAACTAAATATATATTCTAATAATAACAAGCCACAAATATGATATGCTTTAAATTTTAAAACAAAATCTCAAAGTAGATAAAAATTGGACTTTCAGTTTGTGTTTGTATTTTTGAAAACCAGGATATTACAATATATTGACCACATGATTACTTAGATGTATTTTAAATTCCTGAAAATATATTTTTTAGCAAATTTTAGCATTTATTCCTAGAATTCTCTTGCCACTAACAGATATTGGTTCATTTCATTAATTTAACAATGTTGAATTTTGATGTTGTACTTTGGAAATTTCTTATCAAAACTAAAAGAAAATTAATGTTTTAATTTTGAAGTCATTTAAAAGTAAAAATGAATTTTTCGATTATAGGATACAGTAGACTCAGGTAAGACACTAGCTGAAATTAGTGATCGATATGGGGCACCTAACTTGAGCAGAGTGGAAGAACTTGATGAACCAATGCTATCTGATGTAAGTATCTTTAGAGAGTGTTGTGAAAACCGAAATTTTTACTTCAAGAAAGCCTAGAGCATGTGAGGCCAGGGTTGCTTGGCAAATGGGCTTTTTGCTTTATAGAAAGAAAACTAGTTCCCTAATATGGTGCTGTGTCCCTAATTGGCTTTCGGCCCTTTTGTGAATGTGTGAGGGTGGGCACATATCCAGCTCCTTACAATTGTGTCAGCACTGATGGGAAAGTAGCTGGAAACATGGTCACGTTGAGGTAGCAGTGTTGCCCTCTTGTGCAGAGGGTAATATATATATATTGGAGTTAGGCTTTGAAATTTTTTAAATCTCTTCAAAACATGTATTTAAAATCATTTGGTGAAATACATAATCTTTAAATTTTGGGGGCCAACATTTTGGTTCTCGGCAGCGAACCTTGGAACCAAATAAATATCTTAATGAAAGTGCATGCTTTTACAGTTTATAAGTACATTTGTTTATTTAATAAACATGCAATATTTTCTACATGCCAGGCATTGTGCCCGATGCTTTTGTGAATAAAATAGATAATTTTTGACCTTGTCTAGGGAGAAACAGACAATTGGACAAGCAATTAATGGTCATTGTTACAGTGACCAGGTAATTTATTGTCCAAACCAGTATGCTTTGAGAGTGAAAGGATAATTAAGCAGATCGGCAGGTATAAACTAGGGCGATCCTGGCAGATGGGTACCTCTAGTCACCTTAATCAGTGTGCATTGACAAGGGGGACAGCCATCCCAGTTGAAGAACCTTGGTCAGGGAAGGCTTCTTGAAAGAAGTCAGTTATTTGTCATTCAGTAGTGGGGTAGGGGGCTGAGAGCACAGCAAGTATGAAGACCCAGCTAGGGAAGAATATAGAAAGTGTGAAGCAGGCAGGGATGAGATGAGGCAGGGGAGAAGGCAGGGGCCAGTCTATGAAGGGACTTGTAATCTGTGCTCAGACATTTAGATTTTATCCTAAAGGCAGTGGAGGCTGATATGATCAGAACTGCCTTTTAGAAAGGCCATTTGGCTACAGCATAGAGAAGAGAACGGAGTGATAGACTTGAGAATACTATTGGGAGGCTATGGCAGGAATCTAGACAGATAATATCAATGACCTGAAGTAGTAAAATGATGTTTTTAAAAACTGTTCAAAAAGCAGAGTCGGAAGGACTGGATGCTAATGAGTCAATGGATAAATTTTTATTAAATATCTTGGTACTATGTTTTGGTACTATGCAGGATACTAGAACATACCAGTGAATAAAACAGATTGAGTTCCTGCCCTTTAGAGGTCATAAGCCAGTGGGTTAGGTACTCTGAGAGGACAGAGCAGGGAAACCTGACCTAGTCTGGATGAGTCTTCTCAAGGAAGTGAAGTTTAAGGGATCTGCCTGAGATAAGCCAGCAGATAGAGAGAGTAAGATGCTTTCAAGGAACTGAAATAGCCCAGTATTTTGGCTGGGTTGCATGGAGCTGGGAAAATGGTGTGATCTGAAGCTGGATAAAGGCCAGATCACACTAGGCTTTCTATGTCGTGTTAGGAATTTTAGACTTAAGTGCAGTGGGAGCCATTGAGAGTTTATGTAAGAATTCAATATGTATTTTTAGGAAATGAGAGAGGATTTGAATGGGTAGGACTGAAAAGAGGAGACCACTTAGGAGGTTATTACAGTCACCCAGATGCAGGATGGCCAGTCCTAGGACCAGAGTGCACAGATGCGGAGAACTGACTAGATTCGATATTGACTGGGAGGATAAGAGAGGGAAAGAAATCAAGGATGATGCTCAGATTTCTGCCTTAGGCAACTGGACTATACCATTTTTTTGAGCTTTACCATTTGTTGAATTGAGGAACATAAGAAGAGGGAGTAGGTTTTGTAAAAACGATGGCTTTAGTTATGGACACATTGAGTTTCAGGTGACTGTGAGATATGAAGATGAAAATGGCCAAAGGCCAGTTGATATACAATAAATGTCTGGAGGACAGGAGCGAGGTCCAGTAATCATGGGCATAGATGCTAAGCAAAGTTAGGAGAGTGAATGAGATACCTAAGGGAACATGCAGAATGAAGAAGGAGGCTCAGGATGGAAGCCATTAGAAACTGCAACATTTAAGGGGTGGGTACAGGAAACTGCAACATTTAAGGGCTGGGTACAGGTAGAAGACCCCAGAAAAAAGGATATGAATATCAATAGAGGATAGCAAAACAAGTAGAAGAGAGGGTGGGTTATAAATAAATTGAGAACACGGTTATTATTATATTGAATTTGGATTTTATTTGAAATAATTTGAAATAATCAAAAAGCTTCATTTACATAGTCACATAGAAATTACCTAGATTCTGTTTTCTTTGGCTTGTATCATTTCACAGTTCTAATTGTATTAAATCATATTTTCTTTTTATTTTGCTTTTAGGTTGCATTAAATATAGATCAAGATCTTTAGGATCAGCCAAACTAAGAGCAATAAATTTTTCTGTTTATTTTAAAATATGAGTTCCCCAATTGTGTTTTTTTTTTCTTTCAAACTTGAACTGTTTTTTCTCTAAAGACAGCTTTATAAATGGGCTTCCTAGGTGGCCTTAAAATATTGTTTTAGATTTCCTAATGCAACTGGTTATTTGTATGATTTCATTGAGAGAATTGGAGCAAGAATTTCCCAAAGAGACCAAAAGAGGCAAATGAGGGACAAGCTGAAAAGAATGTGTGTATCTAAGTGAGAACAAGATTGCTTGAAATGAAAATTACTGTCTGTGACAAGTGGAAGAGGTTGCCACTGTGTAGGGCTCAAAAATATTCAACATGGTTTAGATATGGCGTTTCCTCCTGAGAATGAACTGCAAAGATTTTCCCAGTTTGCTGGGAAGTAATGCTTCATGGTACCACTTAATCCATGCTAATTGATGGGGCTTTGATGGATAAGGATACAGAGAAGCATCATTTTTTCGGGAACTATCAGTGGGCAAAGGTACAGTGCTACCGTTGAAGAGAAAACTGCATTGGATACAGGCCACGCAGAGTGCTTCCTTGAGTGGATGTTGAGCGGTCTGTGAACCCTCGCTGCATTTTTGTTCCCTTGGAAGTTTCAGGTCTAGCCTTGAACTTTAGGGAGAAATTTGCTTCCTTTCTAAAATTCTTCCAAATCTATGTTATGCAACTTCCCTGTTCCTTAAAGAAGGGCATAGGCATGGAAAATTAATGCCAGGAAGCATTTAAAAAAATGTTGGTGTTTTGTTATAACATACCTTTCCTGAGGCCAGAGAACAGAACAGCCTAGTTGCTTAAGTGGGGAGAGAAAATGGGGAAAAAATAACGGGGAAATATTGGTTTCATTAAAAAAAAAAAGTTATCTTGTTATATCAGTTCTGTACATTTTTGAGAACAAAAAAAAAGTCCCAGGTGCCCTGGAGAGATGCCTTCTGTGTCAGTCAGGCTACCAGACACTGTGTCCCTAGCATGGATGACTTGCATTCAGTCTACCCAGGAAAGGAGTGTCTGAGGGAGCAAAAGAGCATCGTGTCCTTCTGGGCCACAGCCTCAGCCTATGCAGGCACCATCGTTCAGGGGTGCGGGAGGACGGGCAGGCTCAGAAAGCTCTTGGGCTCAGCATAGCCCCTGCCATTCTCCAGAGGGTGTAGTCTGATGTTGAGATTTGACAGCAAGTCTCTGAGTATTGGCAATTCACAGGGTGAAGCATGGTTCTGGAGCAAGGGGTAGTCTTGTTTGAAGAGCTCCCAGCCAGAGCTGGGTGTAAGTGCGGGGAGGTAGAATGAGGTTCAGCCTCTGGGGAGAGAGCCCTCATGAAGATTCAACAGGTGATCGGGTACCAGGGATATGGGCTGGTGTGTGGGAAGTGGCTCCTGTCCTGCAGGGAGATGGCTTACAGAGAGAGCATATGCCCACTGCCCATGGGGACTGGGGCAAGGCTGTAGTCTGTGGGCAGACAGCCACGCTGAGTCTGTATCTAGGCCTTATAGCAGCAGCCCCAATCTTTTTGGGACCAGGGACGTGTCCTATGAGATGCTCCTATGAGAATCTAATGCCTGATGATCTGAGGTGGAGCTGAGGTGTTAATGCTAGCAGTAAGATACAAATGAAGCTTCACTCACTCGCCCACTGCTCACCTCCTGTGCAGCCCAGTTACTAATGGGCCACGGACCAGTACCGGTTTGCAGGTTAGGGTTTGGGGATCTCTGCCTTACAGTTTCTTGCTAATGGCAGCAAGACCCACCCAGTGGTGTAGAGGGGTCGGGGAATGGCTCCCGTTCTGTTGCTAGATGACACCCTGGACTTGGTTGAAGTATTCAAGATTTTTCTGCTGATCTGGTCTTGTGGAAGATAAGAATAGCAGAAGAGGAGGAAGAAATGGTTGAAAAAATGGAAAGATATAAAAGATCTAAACATAGGTAATAAAATGATGTTTCCTCACTGCAAAAGGTGAGATATAACAGACCATCAAAATACAGGTGCAATAAATACGCTTTTCACTGAATCTCAAATGAGCGTTAATCTTACCATTTCGCCAGTCTAAACGTGATAATTCTGGGTTCCAGCTCCCTTCACTTGGCTCTCTCTTGGCTCTGCCTTTTTCTTCTATTAGTTTCATCCTCATGTTGTTCTTGGTGTGGTTAAAATAAATAATTTACAATTCATTGGTTTTTAGTACATTCAGAGTTGTACAATCGCCACCACAGTCCATTTTAGAATCACTGATGGTGATTGCATTTATGCCTACTATCTCCAATCTCATTTCCAACAGAGGTAATCATTTTAGGGTAAGTAATTATTACCCAAATTATTTATACTATCATCATCTTATTGATTCATGGGTTTATAGATTCATTCATTCTTGGTTTGTGTCAAAGGGACATCACTAGTTACCAGGATTGGTCCAGGATGAGGCAAACAAGGTACAAAAATTAAGTGCTGACTGCAATACACAAACCTGAGGATGAGAGCCTCTTAAATTTTGTTCCCTAGGCACTCTGCCTTGCTCTAGTCCTGGCCCCCTGGTAGTTACTATGGAAACATAAGAATAAGGCATGAATTTTGCTCTTATAGAGCATTCATATAGTTAAGAAAGATAATGTGTGCACATAGAATATGAGGCAGTGTATATGAAGAATTATTAACTGGTACAAATAGGAGCTAAACTTTTAGAGGAGGGTGTAATTTGGGCAAACTTCATGAGAGAGCGAACCTTTAGAAGAACCATAAAGGAGAGGTAAGTTTTGAATACATGAAACCCATGGGGATGCGAAGGAAACTAGCCAAAGAGAGAGCTGGAGGAACCGTTAGGAACCAGATCATGGAGGCTCTGGACACCAGCATCTGGCATGAGACATGGGAGTGATGTGTGGGAAGACCCATAATGGCCTTTGAGAACTTTTTACAATTTTTATTAAGATTGTAGAAGTGATATTCAGATCATGTAGTTAAGGTCATGAATTTTGGTAAAGAGATTGTAAAGCTATTCTTTAGAGAAATTTGATGATGAAGAGAGTGATTTGAAGATGTAGCAGGGTTGAGAAGGGATTACCTTCTTCGGGAGAAATGAGATTTTCTTTGTGTTTTGGCAATAGGAACATTGAGGAGTTGAGAGATAAAGACTGAAGATGTGGCTTGGCAGGGTTCCAGATGATTTAAGTGTGAAACAAAATTACAGAGAGAAGAAAGCACTATGGGAATCCTTTTTTCTCTTTTCCAGGGAATGGGGAAGACATAGAGAAAGATAGTTTGAGTGGAGAGGATGAACATTTGAGATAGTGGTGCATTGCAGAATTTGCAGCATATATTTCTGAATCTCTTGGTAAAGGAGAAAAGGGCAGCAGTTGGTCGGGTACTTGTGTGAGGATAAATTTTAAAATATCTGGCAGGGGAATGAGTGAATAAAACGTGTTGGACAACTCTGTGAGCCCACTTGAAGTCTATTTATTCTAAAAACACTTATGCATGCCTTCTGTGCCTCATCTGTATAATAAGTAAAGTAATAGTACCTACCCCTTAGGGTTGTTAAGAAGATTAAATGACTTAATTCATATAAAGCTTTTCCAGCAGTGCCTAACACTTAGTAAACACTCAACAGAGAAGGAAGCTGTTACTGCTACTACTGCTATTACATGTTAAGTACTGTGCTAGGTAAGTAGAGACCTCATCAGAGTTCTTAAATCACATTCTCCAGTAGCCCATAACAAGCTCAGAGGTAGAACAGAGTCAGTGAGTAGTGGAAATGCCCTAGAAAGAGATTGGTAGAACATCACCAGATCACGGGGGTATAGAGTCAAGTGAGAACAGCAATGGAGTGTGTGTGGCTCCCATGCTCACTAGCAGCTGGATGACAACAGTCTTGCTCTAGAGAAAGTGGTGAGTGGCTTTGTTCAAAGCTGATTCTTGTCCAGGAATAGAGCAATGGAGTGTGGGGAGAGAAAGTGAAGGTAGGAGAGACAGCTAAGGGCACAGTTCGTGCGACAGGATTTTGCAAAGATTTGGCCCAGCCAAGCAGTGTTTAGGAAAGGCTGTGGTCCTACCAAGGAGCTTGACTATAGATTAGAAGCAGGGCTGGTGCCTATAGTCCAGCTTGAACACACACTATAAAGGACTAGGGCAGGACAGAAGGGAGCTTGTGACTGGGTGGGAAGGGGTCAGGCAGGAAGTTGGTGAAGGAGAGAGAAGGAGCCTAACATTGAGCACTTATTAATGCCAAAGGCTCTACCAGGAGCTTTTTCCCCTCTTCACTTCTTTAGTATCATAGGTGGCTTCATTATTATCCAAGTGCCCAATTTCTAATGTGGTTATCATCCTTTACCTTTTGTGGTTATCATACTTTTAGTCCAATATAGTCAGACTAATACTTTTCTTTCTCTTATGTTCCAAAGCCATAGATGATAGACTTCTTTGCTAGCCACTTTCCTGGTGTCACTGTCTTCAGCCCCTTGTGAAAATATAAAAGATCAGCTTGATTTAACACATTACTCAGAATCACCTGCCAGCTACTTCCAGATTAAAGATTATAAGGGCTTATCCCAATTGCAATCAGTGGCCTTTACCCTTTACCTAATTTCCCTCATTTTGACAAATCTCTCCTCTCTGAGGACTTAGCTAGTTTTGGAGTGCACACACTGGTGGGAGAGGTGGTCAGTGTCATCGAGAAGCACTCTTCTAGATGGGGAGCAAGAGCACAGGCAAGAAGGTAAATAATGATGCAAGCTCCAAATGACCAGTTTGGTAGGTAGTACTCTTAACTTTTACATGGAGAGAAGTCACTTAGAGGGAACAACACGCACCAAAAACAAAAAACAACACAAAGAACAAAGGTACAGAATTGATTGTGGGTGGGCAGGAGGAGGAATGTAAGCAGAGAAAGAAAGATGGGAATGCCTGCAGGATGCTTGATTAGCAGATCCATGCAGGGATGTAGTGAGAGGGAAGTTCAGGAACATTGATCTGGACCAGATTGTGAAGCAT